TGCTTGGAAGACCTGGTCATGTGCCTCCTCCAGATATCAGATATCACCTTTTGAAGCTATTCCCAATTTTTGCATTCCATCCCAACCTTCACAATTTCCATACTCAAGTCCTGACTCACGTCCTTCGGGGTTAAGAATCCCCTCCAAAAACTGGCTTACACAACCAACCAACCAACCCCTGAGTAAGCGCCAAACTTCCATCAGCACCATTCATCGCCGCTACAGTAAATATCCCATAAGCAGAAACAATGCATTTCTGCTCTGTTTCCCCTTTCAGCCCTAAATGTCGTCAGTCAAAGACTCACGTGGCCGCCTACACAGCCTGTCAATCTCACTTGCAGGGCCTGTGTGTGTAAGCCAGCACTTTTGATCAACAACCACCACCACCACCACCACTATATAGGTACTTTGCATCGTTCGGTCACCGAATCAGTCAAAAATGTCCTGAATTCTAAATCCCAAAACTTGACGTTTTCTTTCCCAATTGGCGAATTGGGCCCGGCAAAGAAAGGTGAGTCAAACCCCCAAGGTGTAAGTACCTATCTAAGCAGGGGTGTCTTTTTTCCTTGACCGCTTCTCCTCCTAACTCCAAAATACGAGACATTCCCATCATCGCGCTGCTCCCCCTCCGTAATCGGACACTGGTATCATTCTCCCGTCATTTTGTTTGTGCAGCTGTCAAGAAAAAAAAATGATTGATATAGTGGTATCTCGAAAAAAAGAAAAACAAAAGAAAAACAAAAGAAAAAAAGAAGAAGAAAAAAAGGAAGAAAAGAATGCCATGTATTGCCAACACAGAATGTTATTTTTTCCATCCCCCATCAAACTTTTCTCTTCACCTTTTATAGCATTTCCGTCGATCCAGTCGACAATACTGACCGCCCAACGCAGGACAGATTCAACCTTTTTTCCCCGTGACAAACACAAGCGTCTGTACCCGCCTCTCTCCGTACCTATGTGCCAAGCACACCCTCCGGCATCAAGTCCGTGCCGTGACAGGGGCCTGCTCCCTATTGGACCATCACCGAGTTTCCTGTCTCTCCCTTTTTTGAACCTCACAGGTGTCAAGTATTTGAGCCGCATGCCGCGTTCCGGATTCTTCCTTTCACTCACTTTGCCAGCAAAGCCGACTCGGTATGGCGGCATGCGAGGCCGTTTTCCTCGACCCTAACCCCCTTGTCCCTGCTCTCCCCAACAATCGTACTTTCACCGGCAGTTGCGTTCAAAACGGGAGACTATCTCCGTCTTTCGGTGGTTGCTGACAAGGGGGGTGTAGGATGATGGTCCGGCGCACCGGGTCCGAGCCGCCGCCGAGAGGCTGGGTCCGCTTGTCAAGGAAGGGAAAATGCAACCCTTTGATGGGCTTCTGGCGGTGTTCTTTTTTTCGTGGGTTGCTTTTGCCTTGGACTTGATGTTCGAGTGAGTTCGTCGGTCATGCAAGTTGGTGATGATGATGATGATGATGATGATGATGGAGAGATCCAGCACCGAAAGAGGTGGTGAGTGTAAGTGGTGGTAGTAGTAACAAGCCAAATCGGTCCTTGAGTGGCTCATCTTTTTCCAGAACAAAAGACGATCAGCCTCTAGAACGATCAACCTGTGGGTAATTCTTGACGCTAGTGGTCCAAGAGCTAGCTGCAAGGCGGTCAAGAGGCTTTTCCAATCTTCGGGTGACACTAGCCAAGGGGTTGCTTACAGCTTGACAGTTGACACGCCATGCAGGACGGTGAGCCCGTCTCTTTTCTTTTCTTTTTCTTTTCTCATGTTTGACCCATGCATACGGCACTCTCCTTTTTTTTGTGATACGCTCCGAATGTGCCGGGGTTGATCACCACACGACATACATATGCCCCTCCGGCATTTGTTCCGTGTGGTGTGTGAAGCAACGTTGTCTGTCAGCCCAGCCCTGTTTGATGCAGGCGGCCAGGGAAAATGGTGTCAGTTTTGGAAGGGTATCACACACACACAGACAGCAGTGACAGGCCGTCTTGTGGAACATCAGGTTTTGACACCTTGGACGGCTATATCGGTCTCAAAAGGACTGACTGACTGACTGACTGACTGACTGACTGACTGACTGCTGTCATCGGAAACTCACGGGGTGATGAGCTGCCAGCTTGTGGTTTCTGGCTGGTAGGTAAATGAGGCAGTCAGTCAGTCAGTCAGTGCCCTTGGCGCCCGTTAGAATCAAGTCTTCATGTCTTGGGGTTTTTTCTTTCTTTTTTTTGGCTTGCCATGTCTTGGTTCCACGCTCCCGTCCGTTCCCGCACCGAGACCTTGATGGTCTTTTCACCGCCCGCTGAAACGGGTACCAATCTCCCTTTTTTTTTCTCTTGGTAGGAGAAGATACAATCTCCAAAAAAAAAAAAAAAAAAAAGGCCATTCTTGTCATGGGAAGGGAGGAGCAGCCATGATCTGATACGGCCGAGGGCTCAGGGGCCAGGTGTCCACACGGCGGTCAACGGGAAGGAAAGGAGCATTTCGTCCCGATGGACTGTTGTTGAGCGTGCCCAAATTCCAAGGGAGATGGTGACAACCCGGTACTTCTTTGCCTGACGCCCCCCCCCCCCCCCCTGACGTGTAAGTACGCTGCGTAGTCCGAAGAGGCACAGTGTGACGTGCGATGACGGGGGAAACAAGAGTACACACCTCTCTCTCACCGACGGTTGTGAGGGAGTATATATCGGGCCCACGTCGCCCCCGATCCGCTGCCTTTCCTTCTTTTACCTCAACTCCCTTGCCATCGTCGAATTTCCTTGTCTCCCAGTCCTCGACTTGACCACACATCCCCCAGCACACAACAGCACAACCTTGAACAAGCACAGAGCCATCTACCACCACCATGGGGCAAATGATTCCAGACCTCGCCGCCACCAGCAGGGCATCGATCACCAAGATCAAGCCAAACGGTATCCCCAACGGCATAAACACCGCCGGCAAGAAGTGCCAACACGACCCAACCTTCACCCAAAAGGTCATCGCCGCCACCGGCCCCAACGCCAACCCCAGACTCGCCCAGATATTCCCAAGTCTAGTCCGCCACCTCCACGACTTTGCCCGCGAAGTCAATCTCACAGTAGGAGAATGGAGCGCCGCCGTCGACTTTGTATGGTTACCCCGCCTCCCCAATCCCACCCTTTCACTAACACCGCCACCACCACCACCACAGCTGAACGACTGCGGCAAAATGTCCTCCGACCGCCGCAACGAAACCCAACTCCTCTGCGACATCCTCGGCCTAGAATCCCTCGTCGACGAGATCACCAGCAAACAGCTCGCCACATCCACCACCCAAACCCCCTCCGCCATCCTCGGCCCCTTCTACCGCAGCGACGCCCCCTTCCTCCCAAACGGCACCTCCATCGTCCAGGGCCTTTCCCCTTCGGTTTCGTGGTACGAGAAAGCCCTGGAGGACTCGGCCTTTTTATCCGGCAAGGTCCTCTCCACAGACGGCAAGCCGATCGAAAACGCCGTCGTAGACGTCTGGCACACTGCGCCGAACGGGCTGTACGAGCAGCAGGATTCTGACCAGCCAGAGATGAATTTCCGCGGGAGGTTCAGGACTGACCAGCAGGGGAGGTACGCGCTGTACGCGCTGAGACCGGTGCCGTATCCCATCCCGGATGACGGGCCGGCCGGGAGGTTGCTCGGGTTGTTGGATCGGCACCCGAACCGGCCGGGACATATCCATTTCATCGTTAGCGCCGAGGGGCATAGGGCTTTGACGACGCAGTTGTATGACAGCCGGGATCGGTGGGTGGATGATGATGCTGTTTTTGCTGTCAAGGATGAGTTGGTTGTCAGGTTTGAGCCGAGGGAGGGGGATCCGGGGGCGAGGTGGGAGTTGGGGTATGATTTTATTCTGGGGAGGTGTTGAAGGGTTGAGTTGGGGGTGGCAGCGATTGTATATATATATATATATATGTGTGTGTGTGTGTGTGTTTTGATCGACTGGGATTTCGGGCGATGGCGTTTGGGTTGGTAGACTGGTTGGCAAATGTAGATTATTTTGTTGAAGCAATTCAGATTGTGCTCTCGATAGCTCGCGCTACATGATGGTCGTGCCTGACTTGTTGCCCTTTTCCGTCCCTCAAGCGGGGACCATGCTGTTGGTCCACAGGTCGGTGGCGAATGCTGGATGGTCTGACTGACACTGCGGTCTTCTTCTCCTGCTCGAGTGTCTGTCATTGACGAGGATATGAGTCGAAAGGTTGAGAGGTGATATACACAAAGGTCGATTCGACGCCAGGCTTATTTTAGGTATAAAAAACCCAAAAAAGACCCCCCCCCCCCAAAAAAAAAACCAGTAGGCATTATCTTTGTTTCTCGGGGTTGTCTGCTCTTCTTCCCACTCTCGACATCTTCATTTCTTTCCCATCCTTGTGGAACCAATATTCTCAGTCTCTGCGGTCCCATGTGGGGTTATACTAGTGTTGTTGGTCTGTCCCTCCATCACTCTTCATCGGAGCGTTGGTTTTAAGGACTCCTCACGAACCACTGCTGCCCTTGCCTAATCGGACCCCTATTATGCGGCGTTGCTCCAAACACTACTTTTTATGTGTTCCTGATCATCAGCCAAATGTACTCGAGGAGTGATACAAGGGTATGTTATTTCCATGATGATGGTGCTGATGATGATGATGCCCCATCCCCGCATGCCCGATCGCTGGTTGTCCCCCAGTGACAACCAAGACGGGAACCCCAGGGGGAGAGTGATGAACAACAACAGGAGTGGTGGTGTACGCACCGGGAAAAGGCTCCGGCTGGGCTGCCGCCGCAACGGGGGAGAACTGCGGTGGCCCGGTGAGGGGTGATATGCCCGCCGTGGGTGTGGGAGGGACGATGGCTGGTTGGGGGAGGTTGAGCCAGTTGTTCCAGAGGTTGTCAAAGTCGAATTCGATTTCTCTGTTATAACCAGGGGAGTCGTTTTGGGTTTGTTGTTGGGGTGGTGGCGGTTGTTGTTGTTGTTGTTGTTGTTGTTGTTGTTGTTGTGGGAGGAGGGGTGACATGCCGTTCATGCGGGTGTCCTGTTGGGTTGTGGGGGCGAGGATGTCAGACAGGGGCATTTTGGAGGAGGTTATTTGGGGGGGAGTCAACAGGCCGGGGTCGCTAAAGCGGTGGTGTTGGGGGGGATAACTGGGATGGGATGGGTCGGGGTGGGTGGTGGTTTCCTGGAGGGGACTTGCCACTACTGGTCCTCCCGACAGGGTATTGGCAAGCTCGGGTTGGGGACTGGACGGGTGGCTGTAGAGGAAGGAGAGGTCTTCCGATAAGGGGGGGGCGTCGTATTTGTTTTTTTTTGTCCATTTGTCTACTACTTTTGCGAAGCGGGTGATGATGTCGAGGACACGCTCGGCTTGGGGGTCGAGTTTGGTGCAGTATTCCATGAAATCGACTGCGTCGCGGATGGTTTTGTCGTAGGCGTTTGTGTAGTAGAGGCACGAGAATTGGTTCATCAGGATGACGAGGCTGGCGGCGAAGACAAAGTATCTGGGGGCGGTTAGAAATGGGAGAATGCCTTGTCCCCGTGAGGGGAGAACACTTACATGACAAAAGGGTTCCTTCGAGGGAGCTGTTGTTCTTCTCGAGCTTGCTGGACAAGCTGAATCGTTTGGTAGGAAGCCAGGACGCAGGCCTCTGAGAACCTCGCCATGGGCGACTCGTGAATTGGTGAGGGCTTCTTCTTCCCAGACCGCTGCTCGACAAGCATCCAGTTGTGCATAACAAAGAGCTGCCTGGTAAGAAGGATCAGTGAATGGAGTGCCAGAAGGTTGACATGTAAGGATGCCATGCCATGCGCCGGGCTTCGAGCAGGACCGGCGTTTGATAGACGGCGTTGCAGGGCAGCTTGTAAATCATCTTCCCAGTCCATAGACATGTCGTTGATGATCTCCTGCACCTTCGTGGTGGAAATCTTGCGCGAAGAAAAGACCCTCAACGTGTCGCCAATTATCCGACAGGTCTCGACACAAGCATGCAAGCTCTTGGCGTGAACCGGGTCAAACTCCCCAGTGATCTCCATAGAGTTGACGGCATCATCATCCGAGAAGATATTCATCGAGCAGTCGTGGCCCGAGATGGCGGTGGGCCTGCCCAAGGTTGCCGCCAAGAATCGATCCAAAATGAACAGTGTCTTCCACAAGTTCCGCCTGACTTTCATCTCTCCCGGCGTAAAGATGACATCCCTCAACGTCTCCTCTCTATGCAGGCCCAAAGCATACGCTGACCGAACAGCCATCCCGAGATAAGCATACGCCGTGTTCCTCTTGGGGATAGTCAACATGTAGAGCGTCATCAACGACAGCGCCTGAACCGACCAAAAGTCAGCGTCCTCAAACCCAGCACCGGGATCACACATCGTTCGAGCGCTCCTAAAGTACAACTCTGCCCTGTCTGGCCTTGCAGAGAGCTGCTTGTTGATGACATGCTCTTCCCGGCTACCTGGGGTAGGCGCAGCAAAGAGGAGACCAAGAGCCAGCACCAAGAAGAGGTGACATAAGAAGTAGTTGTTGGCCGATGGTGGGTCCCGATAGCAAGCCTCCACCGACTGCATAAACTGTTTTCTGTCAAACACCTCCACGATCCCGCAGGTCTAGACAAGGTGGGGTCAGCCGCCGTTGAATGTCAGAAAAAGGGGGCGAAAAGGGGTGGACCCACATTTGTAAAATAGGAAGCTATGAGAACATGGGTTGTTTCCTGGTCCGGCAACAGGGTCGGTACCCGTGTGTTCTCAGGAAAGTCAATGATGGTTTCCTGAATGCGATGCCTCTTAGGATCGTCGATAAAAGGAGACCCCATCTCTGTCCCCGATGTGCTTTCGACAATAATCCGGATCAGCTGCAGGATGGACAGTGTCGAGGCATCTCCAATGTAGACTGTCGTAAGAGCATACGTCAGCAAAAAAAAAAATGCTGTGTACCATAAGGGTGGGTGCAGAGAGAGACTTACGAAGCCGTCTTGACTGGTCTTGCAACATTCTCGTCTCGGTGTATATGTTGGTCTCCTCAGCGTAGCCGCTGGTGTTGCCCGTGTTGCTGCGGCTTGGCAACTTCTTCGTCCCGTGAATCGAGACCTTCTTCACATGCCCTCGGCCTGCTAGAGGCGGCGGTAACGGTGCTGTCGGCGACGATAGTGCTGATCCGCCTATCGAGGCCTGGCTTGGCTGGGCGGCCCGCGCCTCATCCCAAGACTGCATCACCTCACGGGCCAGGGGCGAGCTGTTGTTGGCCTTCTCGAGTGTGGCGGAGATGGAGGGAGGCGACGTCTCAATGTGTCGCCGCTTCATCGGTGACCCAGCAGACTCACCCGGTCCATAATCCGAAGCGTTGTTGGGCGTGTACGAGCAGGTGAGTTTTCTTCTGAGGCAGGTCTGGCAAGGTTTCACGCCATTGCACTGGAACAAGATGTATCAGTAAACGAATCCCAGATATCGTGAGGCAGAAGAATCGCAGGTGATGGAAACCTGGGCTGTCCAAGAATAACTCCGAGGATAGAGACACAAGCACAACAAGTTACGCTGCTCGGTGGCGTCTCCAGGGTCTCAGCCAGAGATTTTGGAAGAATCCGCGGAGAAGGAAGCATAGAGGGCATTCCAGATCGGAAAGATGAACGCATCTGACGACGACGTTCCGACCTGAGCTGAAATCGAGTTTTCGAGCAACGGTGGAGGAGCGGACACGCTTGTGCCACTCGAGCGGTTCTCGCCTTTCCCCGTCCCTATGACTTTGTGCTTCGTAACAAGTGGGCGAACACGACGCCAACCCGGGTATCTCTCTGCCTGCTTGAGGCAGGCATTTTCCCTCGAGCTCCGAGTGACATGTGTGTTGGACTGCGGCGCATCCCGACAAGAAAACGGGCGTGTGTGCGTATGGAAGGAGAAAAAAGAAGATTCGGTGGAAGACGACCGAGACATAAACCAGGAGAGCGGGTGTATAGTAGATAAGAGCGGCTTTTCTCTTGGGTCTCGTCTCGGGAAGCTTTCGACAGAGCCCAACCAGCCCATAGATGGACAAGACAGACGGCCCTCAGGGAGGGGCACAGTTCTGTGTTTCCATCCCATATATTCCCTTCTGATAAGAGAGGCAACCTTCTTCTTCTTCTTCTTCTTCTTCTTCTTCTTCTTCTTCAGTCCGGCAACACTTACACTTGTACACTTGCACTACGCCCACACACACTTCTCTTTCTTTCTCTCACTCCAGAACAGGACAGAGACAGCCACCCATCCACAGGGCTGAAGGCACAAAGCAAAGTGAAACCAAGACTGAGACCCAGGACCGAAGTGAGATAATTAAAAATAAAAAAAAATAAAACACATGAACCCACCTTTTGCTTCCGGCGTTTGCAAGAGTCACAGGCCTGAGCAGTACGCTGGCGCTTGTCGTCGGGAACCTTGGGTCGCGTCATGGTGGAGAAGGGGTCCGGAAGGGAAGGGGGCTCAGATGGGAGTAGAGACGGCTCTCAGGCGCCCCGCCATCGGGTAGCAAAGGTGCAACGGGCGATCTGGTAGACGCGAGCTCAGTCGAGGAAGGCGAACGGTGCTCCTAGTGCGATCGGAAGCGGCGCCGTCGGAGGAAGGGCAAGGGGCCTTGCGGAGCGGATGATGCACGAAACAGCGTCGGCAGCAGGTCCGGGAATATGGATAAGGGGGATAGGTGATAGGGGGGAAGGGGGGAAACGGGGTGTCGGAAGATGTAGTGAGGTATGTAGTATGTAGTATGTAAGGTAGGTCGGCGTCGGCAGGGGCCTGGGCTTGTTCCTAGGTAAGGTATTTGCTGGGTTTTGCTTGGGTTCCTGGCAGGCAGTAAGAGAGTTCCTTTCCTGTTCCTGCGGGAGAAGGGCTGGTGGCACGAACCACGGCTGTGCCGCGCTCTGATTCCGAGTCGCAGTTGAACTTGGATGGAGCCCTAGGCCCGGAGTCAGGTCAGCGCTACTGACGAAACTATATCTCACGGCTCTGGCACTAGAGTATATCAACTCGGCTGTTGGTGCTGCCTGAACTTGCTGCTGGTGCGATGATCCAGGATGGGAGAGGGAAGAGGGAAATGGAGATCGTGGGGTTCGGGGGGACAAGGACGTCGGATATGGGATAGGTATGGGTTGGGGTATGGATGGGGATGGAGATGGGGATGGGGATGGGCTCCAAATTAAGCAGAGGCAAGTCAAGGTAAAGAGGACCGGACTACAGCACGACCTGACGAGGGTTCGACTACTACTCCTACTTAATGCAGGTTTGCCTCTGGTTCTCCTCCTGGATGAGGCTGGTGCCGTCCGTCTGAACTGCTGGCATGGGGCACTTTGGATGAAATTGACCGTGCGGCATCGCTCCTTTTTTTGCGCCCAAATCTACCCAAGATCTCTCGTCGATGCATGGTAGCCAGTGACTGCCTTGTTTGGCCGAGCTGGCATCGAGCCTCAGCAGCCAAGGCACGTGGGCCCAAGTACTTGGATAACGCGCTGCCAGCTACAACGCTGCGGGGAAAGAGAACGAGACTTGATGAGGTGGATGGGGGGCAAGGGGGGAGAGGAGAGGAGAGGGAGGGGAAGGGAAAGGTCAACAAGCCCACCCACCCTCCATCAGAGAGAAGAAATAGAGAGAGACATATGCAGGACAGTGACAATCCTGGCCGGAATCCCCGCACTCGAGACGACGTGCCGGGGCCGGTGTGATATGACATGATAAGAGGGAAGAAGAAGATGAGATATCTGCGAGCCATCGGCAGCCGCGGATCGTCAAGTCTTCATCAGAGAGAGAGAGAGAGAGAGAGAGAGAGAGAGAGAGAGAGAGAGAGAGAGAGAGAGAGAGAGAGAGGTGAGTGTCCAGCTGCTGGTGGCTGCATGAGAGTCCCATGGGACGAGACTCGCCGAGATAGCCCGAACAGTGTGACACATCATCTCGATGCTGCAGCTTCACAACTGGGCGTTACGACGGTGTTGGATGGGTGTGTGTCCGCCCAATGTAGCTCTGGCCGATCAATCATGAAGTTTGACTGCCATCTCGGGCTTGAATGTGTTTCTGTTGGTTGTTGAGAGTCCGAAAACGAGTGGTGGGGGTTCCAGGTGAAGTTCCGTTGTAATTTGTAGTTATGAGACTATGAATTCGTGATATCGAAAAACAAATGCGGGGTTTTTGGCAGCAAAAAGGCCATCGGATAATGCACCTAAAATGCCTCGATTTACAGTGGGGTAAGCGCTACAAAGCCCAACAGCACCAGCGGAAGAGCTGCCCAAGCAGTGGAAGTGGACCCTTCCAGGTGTTAGCGTCCACTAAGATCTCATCAGGTAACACGCTGGCGGGGCCGCTGCGGCAGGTGCCTAGCGCATGCGTTGGACCCCCAGAACGGGTGAAAAGTGGAGAACTTCCCGCTAATACGATCAGAAACATTCCCTGTCTTGGGTCTTTGGTCTTGGACATCCCATCCCGTCGTCCCGTCGCCTCCACAATTCTTCAACACTTTTTTTCTTTTTTTCTTTTTTTTTCTTTTTTCTTTGTTTTTCTTTTTTTTTCGACGCTGAGACGGTGCCCCCCACGACACGGAACGGCAGGAGAGGCAGAAAAGATGGGAGAGGTGGGAAAAGGTCCTGCTCATCAGGCGGGGTGATTGGAGGCCATCCCCGAACATTGGACGCAGCTTGCTTTTTCGGCATTCCACATCGGACCCCCTCGGCTGATATTGGATACTACCGGTACACTAACTATACTATGAACAAACTCAAAAGATGGGGGGTGGGCGCGGCAGCAACCGCTCTCCTCCCCGGACACCAGGCTCCTCGGCTGCTTTCTGCTGTGTCCCCAAGGCCGACGCCGCGAGGCTTGAGAGACAGAGACATGCAGGTAACACAGCTCATAAGACCTGCAACCACCGGGCAGTCCTGACGAGCCCAGCTGACTTGGTTGAGGTGTTCCAGTTGAAATCAAGATGTGCCGGACGACCCTGGAACACGGGCCTGGGAACTGGTCTGGACACACCAGCTGGACTTTCTGGAACGCGGACCACTTCAGCTCGCTGCAACGTCGGGGCCGGGAGAACTTTGGTCTCCCTTGATCTTTGTTCATATCTGTCAACGTCTGCCGGTGCCCGCATCGCCGGCTCCGTGCCGCACACCGGCCGATTGCCCAGGCTTCGTCTGATGCCCGGCTGAGTCCTCGGCTCCAATGGCTCCAATGGCTCCAGTCCGGGATCATGACGACTTGACCAGCATCAAATCGGGAAAGGATGGTCTCCCCGCACTTAGCCTGCGGCTGCAAGCATTCCCCAGAATCGCCAAATCGAGGTTCAACAGGTCCCCGAGCCCAGTTGCCTGTTCTTTTTCCCAGCAGCCACAGAATCTACATCACATCACGCTAACCCCACAGGACGAGGGGGGGCGAGTGCGGTCACAAAACTACCTTGTGTCTGGAGCACCGTTCCCCCGCATGCTCCATGATGCGGCTGGTGTAACCGCTCCCGCCAATGGTTTCCTGAGAGCCTGGGACCAGACAGGCGACCTTTTTGTGCCCTTCGACCCTTCGCCGCCGCCGCCGCCGCCGCCGCCGCCTTGATATCAAAACCAACCCGGCGTCCCAAGTGGGCTTTTCTTTTCTGCCGCGTGATCACAGGCCGGGCTGGTTATACTTGGATACTACCTGCATACGCATCCTGTGCCAGCCCCTGAGCCCCAGTCTTGTCTGCCGTCCGAGCCTCTTTTTGTTTCTGCCAGGTCCCGATAAGAGCACTGCCGGCCCGAAGCATCCCACTTCCCAGCCTGGCTGGCTGTTGCGGAGCGTCTCCTGAGGGGCACGTGGTGCTACTATGGATACTCACGAACGCCTCTCTAGTCCTCTTGCGGCTCGGGTCCGTCATGCCAGTGGTCGGAAGAAGGCGAGACGAGGCGCGGGCTGCAAAGCAAGATGTCGCCTCTTTTCCTGATGTTGCTCGGACCCGCACCCCCTTTCTGTGAGCAGATTTCCCGTTTTGTGGGGATCTTGGACCGGAGGGGGTGGCATCCATCCCGTCACCATGGATATGCCGTCCATGGTATCATGTCGTTGACTGTCAACACGTGCCGAACATCACAGCCAGGCCATTTTCGTTTGTCCCCCATCTTGGCGGGTCTCACCAGGATCCTGGATGACCTAGTGGAATATCTTCGGAGACTGACGTACGTCCGTTGGAGGAGATCATGATGTCTCTGAGACCAGTCCGCCGGAAAGCGTATATATATATATCAGATAGCCGCCCATTGTTTCCGTCCGATTTGCTCTCGCCGTCACTTGAGTTGCCCCTTCTTTGAACATCTTTCACTACTTTCCCCCACAATAAACCATCCATCCCAACCTGCGGTATGGACTCGAGCCCCACAATGTTGGACACAACGCCCCTCCCCTCGTGGGAGCGACAATGGCGAGGAGGGAGCAAGAGCAAGAGAGCAACAAAGCCTCTCCACAAGAAAGAGGTCAATCATGTCTCCCAGCAAACTCTTCTCCTTTTCTCACAGCTCCGGTACTACCTGGGGACGTGGAAAATGGACAACAAGCAGATGTCCAGAGTCACCCCGAAGCCCAAGCCGTATTCCGTCATCGATGGGGCCAGAGAGGCATTGACCTCTCTCGAGGAGCTTTGCCGACATGAACTTCCAGGCAACTTTTCGACTCTGGCTGGAAATGTCAACATCACCTCGTCATCTGGCCAGGGAAACAAAGTTCACTTTCCCAGCCCTCTCAAGGAGCAAGATGCCACGGCAGCTATCAAGGGTCTGGAAGCTCGTGTTGCCAGTGCCATTGCCGGTCTGCGGTATGGCGCCGAGAAGCCCTCAGTCACGGTCGACGTTGATAAGATTTCTGGCTTCTTGATGTCTGCTTACCTGACCACAATCGACGGGATGGACAAGACGGACCCCGGAGTCAAGGAGAGGATACCGGGTATGCTACCGTGAGAGTTTGATGAGACTCGAAATAGAGGCTAAACAAGCTCCAGATACCGACCTCAACAGGGCCCAATCCATCCTCTACCGCCGCCTCTCAGCCAACCTCTACAGCACCAAGAACCCCGGCGAGTACTACCACATCCACGGCTCCCTCAACGCGGACATCACCCTGCAAATGCTCGGCCTCCCCAAGCACCGCCCGGACTTGACAGATTACCGGGAGTGCATTGACACCATTGAGGCGGCCGTCATGAGGCACACAGCCGCTGAGCTTGACGAGCTAAACCTCAAAAACAGACAAGCGGGCATCAAGGCGTACACCTGGGAGCAATTCCAGGAGTTGCCTCACGGCAAAGCGATGTGTTCGCAGCCACCTTTTACCGTCAAGCCCAACCCGCTAGACACCACCACCCCGCCTGTCCCCTTTTCTTCCTCATCCGGCTCAGGACCGCGATTCGCCCTAAAGGGGATCAAAGTTCTCGAGCTGTGCCGTATCATTGCCGGCCCGACAATCGGCCGCTCCTTGGCTGCTCACGGAGCCCAAGTCGTCAAAATCACCTGCCCTACCCTTCCCGACGTCCCATTCTTTCAGCTGGACGTCAACACGGGCAAACACTGCATCTCGCTCGATCTCAAGTCCTCCGCTGCTGATCGGGAGACTTTCTCGTCCCTCCTGGCGGAAGCGGATGTTCTGATTGACGGGTATCGCCCTGGTGCCCTCGCCAAACTGGGGTATAGCCCCTCCCTCCTCGCCGAGGTAGCCAAATCCCGAAACAAGGGCTTTGTTTATGTGGTTGAGGACTGCTTTGGCGGAACGGGGGCAGAAGGGGCAGAGTGGGCGCATAGGCCAGGCTGGCAGCAGATTGCGGATTGCGTCTCTGGTGTTGCTTACGCTCAAGGGAAATTCATGGGCCTGGAGAACGAGCCGGTTGTGCCCCCCTTTCCGATGAGCGATTACGGGACTGGGGGGTTGGGGTCCGTGGCTGCGATGGTTGGGCTGGTGAGACGGGCGACGGAGGGGGGGAGCTGGGTGGGGAGGACTAGTTTGGTGCAGTACGATGTTTTTCTCCAGAAATTGGGGTTGCTGCCGGAGCGGGAGCAGGAGAGGTTGAGGGGGGTTTTTAGAGAGGCGGAAAAGGGAATGGGGGGGGGGGGCTTCTTTGAGTTGAGGCACAGTGATAGTGTTGATGAGGTTGGGAGACGGGCGTTGAGGGGGATGAGGGGGGTGGTGCCGTTTTTGTTTGAGGGGGACCATATGATGAGTGAGGGGTTTAGTAGGGGGTTTGGGGGGGTGGTGAGGTGGCCGAGGGAGGCGGTCGAGGTGGAGGGCTTGAGGGTTGGGCATGTTAGGGTTGCGAGGCCTAATGGGTGGGATACGGGGAGGAATGAGGGGGGCATGTGGGAGGGGTGGGAGGAGGATGAGATTAGGGGGTGATGATGGTTGTACGATGATGGATGGGTGAATGGGCGGGATTGCGTTGCTTTTTATGGGAGGTAGCTTTGGTTTGTCTGCGTGTGTTTTGCAATGACTGGACTGGTCAAAATTGTTCGGTTTATGAACGGTGGGGTGGTTTTAGTGATTTTTTTTATAGGTATCGAATTGATACTGGCGTTTATGAATCAAGAAGTGATGTGTTGTACATGTGTGTATACTAATTTGGAAAGGTAACGTCAATGATGCCGACTTGTACCTTGTTACCTTGTTACCTTGTCCTCATGTTTAACAGGAAACCCTGACTCTCATTGTCAAAAATTGTCTCTGATGTTAAACTGCAATATGCTTGACAACGACTACGCAATGCCCAACCTGCTAACCTGATCAAACCTCAACAGTCCCCAGCTCCTTGCTTATACTTGTCTATACTATGCACGCCTCCTCCCCAACCCCTATCGCTATGGATCTCTTCAGTCAATATTACTTCCCCCCTTCTCTTCATTAAAACCCCTCCTACAAAACATACCCCCCACCAGCAGTAACAACCCCCCAATCCCTCACCCCCATCCCATCCTCCAGTTCCACAACCCACCACAACGCATCCCCCGCCTTCTCCGCCTGTCCACTCTCCTCATACGCCCTCGCCAGCGCGAACCACGCCTCAGAGTAATTCCACCCCGACCCCAACTTCGTCAGCCCGCTCAAAAGCCCGTACGCCCTGTCTCTCGCTGCCAACCGATCAATAAGCGGTACACTGGTCGCTTTATACGGCGGCGGGAGCTGCGGGCCTAGCAGCCTCGACGGCGATGCCTTGGAAACCCCGTTAGCGGTTTCATCCTCTTCCTCGTGGTCAAACACCGCTTCGCGATCCGGCTTCCTGCTTGCAGTCTTATGTTTAGGCGAACCAAGACCGAGGGGTTCAGACGGCAGTTCAGGAAACCGGCTTGGCGGGGAGGCGATGAGTTGGTGGTCTTCATGTGGTTCAGAGACGAGGGATGCGCCGCCAAGGTCAAGGCCGGGGACTGCCGGGGGTGGGAGAAGCTTCTCCGAGCAGATATCCAAAAGAATATTCGAGAGCCCGACGATGGCGACAGGGTGGTCGGGGAAGTGCGTCAAAGCTGTTTCAAAGTCGGCGCGGGCTTGGTAAGGTCTTTCCAGGGCGAGAGAGAGTTCTCCCTTCTGTGGTATCATTAGTGGCCACGTCTTTTTTTGTAATGGAAAACACCGAAACATACCTCGGTCCAGACATCAGCCAAAACAGCCTCAACACTCTTCTCCATGCCCCATCCCGCCGTCCTGGTGTTCAGTGCTCCGGAGGTATCGCTGACTACATCGCCCTCAAAGCTCTGTACAATCTTCTGTGCTTCCTCAATGGCCTTTTGGGCATCGTCAAGCAGACCAGCCCGTCGGTAAAACCCCGCAATAGTAAGCCAGACCTTGACGAGAATGCCCTTTCTTTTTCTCTTGCTGTGCTCCTGGGAGAATTGTACAAAGGGCAACAGAGGTGAGAAACTTTCCAGGGTCCCTGTTCCGACGCCCACCTCCGAAGGTCCATCCGTCGTCCGCTTCGACAAAGCGGACGAGTTTGTCGTCTCTGGTCTCAGTGTCCCGGCCACAGTCTTGCTGGCATAAGTGAAATGCTGCGGGCTGCTGGGGTCCTCAAAGGTAGGCTGGTATTTATCTCCATTGAGAGGCGGGACTGGCGGGCCGCTACTCACGGCGCGTTGCCGGCTGCCGCTCCGATCTCTTTTCCGGAGGCTGTTCCTGCTCCTACCATTAAGACTGCCCGACCTCAGAGACCTGCGGCTAGGCTGCACGTCAATGGCCGTCTCGCTGCTGGTCTGCTGAGTGAGCGTGGTGTTGGCAGTTTGTGGCCTGGAGGTTGCCACGCTCTGCCGTGGTTGGTGACCCTTGGCTGCGCGACCGCCAAACATACTATCTCTGAAGCTGCGCATCGTGGCCATGGTCTTGGGAGGCTCGACCTTTGATATTTCCAGTGTCGGTTCGCCGAGATCGCCAAACAGCCTGGGGAACAGCGTGAGCAGCTCAGTGCTGGCGTTGACAGCCACGGTAGGACCTTCAACGAGTTCCAGAATGGCAAGCTGGGTCATCTTGATCTCCAGAATGCTCTCCTTCTCGAAGTCGTCCATCTCGTCCACGATGCCATCACCGCCAGCCTTTTCAACAGCCGCCTCATTAAGGTGCTCACTCCTGAAGCCACCGTTGAGGTCCCTGCTGCCAAACAAGACGATCGGATCCTTGAACTGCTCAATGGCACCTTCACACGCCCGCGCAGCCAAGACATAGTCTTGACGTGCGCTCAACATAAGCGCCAAAAGATGCCAGAGCGGAATCAACGATCTTTCCCTCCAGTAAGGCCCATTATGCAGCTCCTCAAGCTCCTGCACCGCCTTGTCCGCCAGCAGCGCCGTCTTGACCAGCTCAATAGCCACAGACAACTTTCTCTGCTCCGCGTACAAAACACCCAACGCAAACACCCCCCTCACATCAACCACACTCCCAAACTCGGGTGACAGAGACCACCGCAAACACTGGATCGCCTTCTCCTGAAAGGCGGCCCTCGATTCCGACTCGTACGTCATCCTAGCCCACTGCGCATTCGCCAACCCAATACTCTGCCACGCCAGCGCCATCGACCTCGGCGGCACCAAGTCCCTCGGGTCCGCGCTCTCCGGATCCAGTTCCCCCCACTTCTTTACCAGCCCCTCCAGCTCTTCCGAAATCTTCCTCGCCTTATCCGCCGACTCCCGTCCACCATATCTGCACAGCGCCGCAACGGCCGCAGAGATGGTCTCCAAAACCGTCGCATTGTCATCCAGCGCCGGCTCCCTATGGCCCGTCTTCTCCACCCTCGCCTTCCCCTTCTTCACCAGCTCAAACCAGCTGTCAAACGACACAAACGCCAAATCAAACTCTGCCACTGCCAAATGTACCGTAAACAGATGCCTGAGTATCGCCGTAGAATGATACGTCTTTGTCGCTGCGCCGTACAATGTGTCCAGCGTCCCTCTGCTCAAACTATCCCTCCCCCCCGCCCCCAGATCATGCTCCTTCCAGCCCCTCCCATTCAAAATAGTCCAATTCCTCATCACCCTCGCCACAAACTCTTCCACCTCTTGCCTTTCCTCATCTGCCCTCGGGAACTTGGTCTCCGAAAACAGCAGACCCTGATAGATGGTCTCCACCTTCTTGAGTTCCGCTCTCAACTGTGCGCGGGCACTGATGGTCTCCCCATTCGACACCGGCACCGTAACCCCAAAGGGGGGGTAAGCCAAGTCCCGCTGCAGAATCTCGGACAAGGCAGAGTAATACTCGCTCCAGACCTGCCTCCTAGGCACCGATCCCCGGAACCCATATCCCCCCGCCCCCGAAATACCGGCCTGATCCTGCGCCGCGACCGCCACGCCCTTGGCAGCGCCAGCCCAGTATCTTGCCCAAGTTCTAAACCCAGAGAGACAGTTCCCCTCCGAGAGTGACTTCTCCCCCTCCCTCGTAGCCTGGCTAGCCAACATGCAATACTCGGTGAGGAACAACTCGGCCCAGTATCGTATCTGCTGTCTCGCTGGCCCTCCTGGCGTGGCATTCCAGACAGTGTTCAGACTCGGCAACGCGATTTCGAAGGCTTCGAGGGCACCCTTGCGTTGTCCGTCGCGCGCTAGACAGTTTGCTCTCAGATAGGCCGTTTTCAAGGCGCAGACTTTGGTCCATTCTGACGGTTCGACTGCGGCGTCGGTGGTGGGGAACTCTTCGTCGAACGATCGGGGGAGGCGCTCAAGGGCGAGGGAGTATTCTCTCAGCACCCAGTGTAACCAGCCGGCGCAGACGCGGGCCTGGAAGCGGTCTTGGGGGTGGGTTTGTTCGTTTTCGATGACGGTGAGGAGGGCGGGGAGTTGGGAGGCGGCTTCGAGGGAGGAGGCGGTGGTGTCGGGGGTGGATTTGACCGAGGCTTTGATGATGGAGTGTTCGGTTGTTGCTGATTGGGAGAGGCCTGGGGGGGGGGGAGGAAGGATGGGTGAGCATGAGTTTGGTGATGGGGAGAGGGAGAGAGAAAAGAAGAAGAACGTACAGGCTCGTTCAGGGGCATGTTTCCGCACCTTGCGGACTAGCTCGGGGACGGCATCCCAGTTGTCATCGCAACGCGCTTCGTCGAGCTGTTGGATGTAATGCGCTGCTTTGACTGCGTCGGGCTGTTTTTGTTTTGTTTTGTATTCGTTAGAAGGATATCGAGGAGAGGTGAGGTGTCAAGGAAGAAGTAGGTACGTACCATGTTGGCGGTGTTCCAGCAAGCCTGCTCGCACTACGATGACTTGATCAGACAGGGCATGCGGAGCGCAAGAGCATAGCCTTTGGGAAAGGGTCAAGTTGTAGGGTGTTGGAGGTGAGATTCAAAAGAGTACGTCAGCTTGTAAATAAGGAGGCGTTCGGCTGGGCAACAAGACGGGGGCACTAAAATGAAGCCAATGGAGCCCAGGTCAATCCAAAATCTTGGGGTGCACTAGGGGGTGATGATGTCGGGCCCATCAGGAACAGGAATAGCACCCAACCGCGCACAGGGATTGGCTGGTTTTAGTGGTTGCAGCGGCCAAGCCAGCCAGGGTCCCGCATTTCGGTAGCTCTAGCGGAAAAGTTACCGATAAGATAGCGAGAACATCTTTAAAATGTTTTTGCAGTAAAACACCACAAATAAACCAACATTGCGCCAACTCCCACGTGGGAATAGTTTCTTTGTCTTGATTTTGACAGAAATCAAAAGTTAGGACCATCATCACGAGTAGGGTCTATCCCCACAGTTCTAAAGGCAGAGACTCGCAGACATCAAACATCTAATGGCATCACCCCCATCAGACCTGCGGGTACTTGTCCGCAGGCTCGCTTCGACACCGGCCGATCAACTCCCAAGACTATGCCCAGTTCTGGTTGGACACGTCCTAAGATGTGGTGAACCACTCTCTGCTTCAGATGCTGGAAAAGGAAAGGACAAGGGCGCTGAGACGCCTATGCTTGTTCACAAGCTCAGGACACACATCACCACGCTCTTGACGGGAAGGAACGCTTCGGGTCGCTTTGCCGCCGTCTGCTTGATCAAGGCTGTTGTCGATGTGGGAGGATGGGAAAGTCTCAGGGCTGCCGACCCCTGGGTTCGCGGCTTGATCAGTGTTGCTCAAGTGTGTATCTATTGCAGCATGAGAATTACTGATCTAATACTGACATTTTCTGTAGAAAATCGACCCTCTTCCTTCCAAGGAGCTGGCCGTTATCACCTTGACCAAGATCTACATGCTACTCCAGGGCTACCCGACTTTGATTAGAGAGATGGCCACTCCCACTCTTCCCAGCTTTGTCACAGCTTGCCTTCAGCTGGTCAAATCTCCATCAACCCCTACCAGCGTGATTGAGACCGTGGCCAGCTCTCTGTCCAAGCTGGTGATGCTCTACCCCACCACTTTGCGTCCATTCGCCGGTCAAATCAAGACCGCACTCAGGACTTACGTTGCGCCAACCACTTCTGATTCTGTTGTGGTTCCTCATGCTCTCCGCGAGAGCTCTCGCCGGCTTTTCATCCTCCTTTCTTACACCGCCCCCAAGAATGGAAGCAGTGACGAGTGGGTCAAGTCTATCAAAGCTGCCATTCTCGACTGCCATGCCACCGCCGACCAAATCTTCCGCGGTGTTGTCGAATCCTGGGAATCGTCCACTGGTTATCGTCCTCAGCCAGTCCGCAATGAGCTTGACCCCTCTGGCGGCGGTGACTCCGTCGACGAGTTCCCATCCTGGGAGGGCATTCAGCCAGGCTCTCAGCGCCTGGTCGGCCTCCTCGAGTTCCTCGCCGAATACCTCGACAACCCCACCAAAGCCCCCGTCACCATCCCCGTCGGCGAGCTCCTCGACCTCACCACCCGCCTCACCCTCGTCACCCCTCCCAGCCTCTCCTCCGAGGAAACGATGCAAACCAACCCTTCCATCAGCCGCGACGAAAAGGCCGACCTCTGGACCGTCCTCCCCGACATCCACACCGCCGTCCTCCGTCTCCACGGCTCTACCATCCGCCGACTCGCCGACTCCGCACTCCCTCTTTCCACAGACATAACCGACCACACCGTCCGCGTCCTCTCCTTCCACCGCACCAACCCCGCCGTTCGCGAGAAAGTCTACAACCTTGCCTCCCCCCTTCTCACACTCGCCGGCCCGACCCTTCCCAGGTTGACAGTCGACTCCTTAACCCCCTTGATCCGGCAAGTCTGCCACGACATCCTCCTATCAGCAGGCCACCTAGACGACGCACCCAAACCCACCCTCCCCGTCGAAAAAGCCAAGCAAACCGTCCAAGGAAACGCCGACGCTTTCCTTTCCACCCCGTCCGCCACCCCAGCGTCTTTATTCAGTGCCCTCCCAGCCTCCCTCCTCGCTTCGGCTGCTGCCCTCCTCCCATTATTCCTCTCCCACCTCCCCCAACCGCACCTCTCCCCCGATATCCGCTCCCTTGTCGACCGCACCGCTATTTTATCCTCCAACAAAGAAGCTATGCTCGCGTCGGTGTTGCAACCGTATAAAGACTCCAGAGGGCGGTACTACCCCTCTATCCTTCCTTTTCTCGTTCAAAAGTTTGGAACGTCAAAAGAGGTGGAGGTTGTCCGCAGCAACCTCGTCCGTGCCGGCCGTTACGCGCAGCTTAACACGGATGAGTACGACCCCTCCGCCAATCTTGATGACTTGTTGGCGGATAGACAGCTCCGGGGCGAGGAGGCGGCGGATGAGGAGATGGGTGACGCTGGGGAGCAAAGTGATGTTGTTGCTGTTGTTGAGAAGGAGAAGAGAGTTGTTGTTTCCAGCTGGGGAACCGCAGTCACAAATGGTACAGTCCAGGAGGCAATGGAGGTGGATGATGACACACCTGCCGAGGTGAACCCTTTTGCTTTTACTGTCAAGGAGACGGAAACCGCTGTTGTGAACAAGAAGAGGGCCGCGTCACCGCTCAAGAGGAAGAGCAGCGGGGGTTTGGAGGTGGGGGATGAGACAAAGGTCAAGAGGGTGGCTGTTGCTGCTGCTGCTGCTGCTGCTGCTGCTGCTGTGGCTGTTGACACCAAAAAGGTGGAAGAGGAGAATAGCGATAGTGATGATGAGGGGAGCGTGCAGATTGATATGTCGCTTGATGATGAGGATGATGAGGACGAGGAAGAAGATGATGAGTAGATGTGGTCCAAATATGGATGTAGAATGTGGGGTGTATACAGGACATGATACATTGTACACAAGACGTTTCATATACACCACACACAACGTCCCGAAATTGATCAACGCTGTCAATTACTTCTCGCTTCCATTTGTACATACAAAACCCTATTCCCTGAATACATTCCCATCGTGCCCAGCCTCTTTCCGTCCGAGCCAAAGCTAGGCCCGAAA